TTGTTCATCGATCAAAAGAATTCCAGCTGAATGGCCCAATTTAATATAAAAGTCCAATATAAATTCATCTTCAAATTCATAAATTTTCACCAAATTCCAAAAAACAACATTGATCACCAAAAAAAGTACTAAAATAAATCATTTACCTCCAGTATACTGTTAAAAGAAAAAACCGTCAATTCCCATATGAATCTCGCAATCGAAACCAAATCAAAAGAATTCAAAAGGCAAACAAATACTTACGATTTCAACTGGAACTGACATGGAGAGTCTCTCATCAATAAACACGTTTCTGACATTGACGAATCGGCGAGCCATCAGCTTCACCAGCGCGTCGGGACTACCTGAAGCGCCGATTCGGATGGTTTCGCGGCTCAGCCGCTCAAGGCTTAGCCATCTCTTGCAGACGATCGAGCAAGCGTCGCGGCTCGACTTGGAGTCCAAGTGATTGAAGATCTCGAGGATCAACTCGTCCGGTAGCATCGGATTTATGCGATCATACCCTCTCATCTTCGTGTATATACTTATATATCTACAATAATGTCCGGATTGAGAAAGAAAGTAAGAAAATTCACACCTACACACAGAGAGAAAGAGGGAGCTGTAATGTATAATTTCCGGCGTTCGGTGGAGTCGGCGGTTAAGTAGGGTGACAGCTCGGGAGGTAATTCTTCGCTCACAGTTTTATCCTCGGCTTGTATAATAGGTCTGCCAATCGTGTGTCGAGTGAACTGATTTGTTGTCCAATTTTAATAAATTCGTGTTAAAAAATATTTAATTTATTTATATCAACTTCGTGTTATGTATAAATTATATATAATTGACATATAAATGAATGTGTCGTTATTTTTTAATTGACTTCATTCATATTCGATTTATTTATTAATTGTATCGTACCGGATTCACTTATTTACTAAATAATTGACTTAAAAAAATACTCAAATAGTCAAATCCTCTAAATTTGTGTCGTATTCATGTCGTGTTCGTCTCATATTTAACACCTCAAATTTATAGAATAAAAAAAAACTATAATTTACCCCCAAATGTTTTATAAATTTTGAAATACAGTAGACAAATGTTTAGGACATTTGTGTAATAAAATTGGATAAATATATAATTTTTTGAATAAAATTTAAGGAATAGATTTAATTTGTACCACTATAAGAGCATTTTCCAACGAAGAAGTCAAAATTGAGATGCCAAATTTAAATTTAAAGATTTATGTGACAATTTGACATATAACATTTAATATCTTTACCTCATTCTATTCCAATTGCATGTCAATATATTACATTAAACACTCGGTAACTCCATAAAATACTATATTAAAAGAATTTGACATATCAATTGAGGTATGTCAAATTTGATAGTGTGCTAAATTTTTTTTTTGTCGACTCTACAATTAACATGTTGGTTAGAGAAGGAAAAAAGGCCAAATTTGGCCGTTAGTTATGCTCTAAAGTGGATTTGCTTGTTAAAAAAATTGTCTATCGAGTTTAAAGTAATGTTATAAAACTCAAAAAATTATAATTCTAATGTGTATCATCCCTTAAATGAGTGGATTTTATCAATTTTTTTAATGGAACTCACTCATTCAACACTCATCAAAGGGATGATATATATTTGAATTTGAATTTTTGAATTTCATTTGAGTTGTATAACATTTTTTTTGAGTTTATGGTTTTTAAAATGCAATCTTTTAGTCAATTTAGACATGATGATGCTCAGAAATAATAGCTCAAGCCCAACCGATAAAATATCAAGGGTTTGAGTGTGATGTTGTGATTAGGAGATTAATCTAAGGAGATTGAAAGAACACAAAATGTAAGTGGTTCACCTTAGCCGAAAGGTTAAGGTTACGTCCACTGTAATGAAGTCTCTTGCTTATTGAGATCATATATTGTTTAATCCTTGATGAGTACCACGATAATGGAAGTAATGGGTTCTTTACAGGGGTTGTGTATTCTGTTTTAACTGCTAGGTTTTTAGCTTGATAGCATGAAACTGGAAGAAGACCCTTCTGTTGGGTAACCATTTTTGTATTTATACAATGACTCTTCTAGGGTTTTTTACTGCTCGTCCTTCTTTTTGTGCTAATTATGTGGGTCCTCCCCTCTATACCTTATGGCAACCTCTGTCATTTGACGCATTGTTCATCCGATGTCACTGTTTTCATGATCTCTGGTGAATATGCGCTCCACCCTCCTTTACTCTGTGATCACCATAGGTGTCAAGAGTGGTCCCTGTGTTTTTAGGACATGCGGCGCAACGGGATGCTCCGCAGTTCATATCAAGTTGGGCCTCTCTACCTTAGGCTGCTCATCGACAAGGCCGGATCAGGGTTAGGTTGGTTTGCAAGCCTTCTAATGAGGTTGGGCTTTTTCCCTGGGGCTCGGTCTTTTAGACTTCCAACGTGGGCAAACTGTGGACTCTCCCATTTTGGGCTGCTGGATAGTCAAAGGGTTTTTGGATTCATTGGGTTCCTGAATTATGGAGGCCCATGCCTTAAATTTTGTCCTTATCAAGACATGTAATCAACTTCTCATTATTTACAATCTTTAATTCTTGTTGAATATGAAAATATTAGAATTATTATAAAATTATGTTTCATTGATTCATCTGAAGTTGATTGAATTAATTTAATTTTCACTCCAATTAAAAAATTACATTAAAGTAATATGGGGGAAGAGATGTAGAATCATCATTCATACCCAAGGCCCTTCTGGCTAGGTTCTTGTTTTCTATGAGAATGTGTTTTTTTTTTTGATAAAAAATGGTAGAAATTCGATTAAATAGGAATATTTGAGAGGGAGGAGGGCTCTATGAAATTTGGTGCCTCCTCCTCCCATACAACCACATAATCAACACTAATAGTAATAGTATGTCTAGCTAGCTTATATGCTATCTTATTCCCTATTCTTTTAACTATGAGTACAAAATAATAGTAAAAATTATTTAGACTAATCTTGATATCCGCTAAAATAGATCCCTAGGGATCAAATTAATTTTTGACATCTGTGAGCATCCTGATCACGTTAATTGAATCCCCTTCCGAGATAATTTCAGCATAGCCTTGTTGCACACCAAAGTGGATAACCTCCCTAACAACTAAAATTTATGCCTTTTACGTAACACATGGGAAAAGGACTTTCCTAGACAAGCTAGCATCGAAGATGCCTTGCTCATCTCTTATTACCACGCATACACCAATTACTCCATCTGCATCAAACACAAACCCATCGAAATTAACATTTAAAGAGCCTATACTTAACGAGGGGACCATAGAGAGATTGCAACTGCTACTACTAGTGCCAAGACGTTGGAATCCACTTCTTGTTCGTACTGTGCAATATACTCTGTTGGCCTATAACTTATTAACACAGGGTCTTTCTTTAAATATTGAAAGAGCACTTCATTTCTATTCGTCCAAATTAACCAACGATGGACCAAGAAGAGAGAGAATTATTGTAGATTCATTTGTTGCGACATTTTCTACAACCAACTATGAATTTGATTTTTTGGACGTTGCATTAAATGGTTTTGTGGACCGGATTCTCACAACTCGTTGGCCCAACCACATTCTTTCACCAAATGCAACACAGTTTCGGATTTATTTTCACAAACAAAACATATGTCATCCATCCAGATCCTCCTACACATAAGATTTTCATTAATAGAGAGAGTATTAGTTGCCATTCTCCAAGCAAAAAATTTAATTTTATACGATAACTTCTGAGTCCCAAATGAATTTTCAATTGTTATGTTCGGAACTTGAGGATGAAGCAGCTTCAGAATGGTTGTTGGTGCCATCGAGATTGCCATGCGCCATTCTCGATGGTTGAATTCAAATACAACCAGTTTGAGAATGATTGGGTTAAAAACTTTGTTTAGTGCTATGTATTTGTCTTAACTATCCCTCACCAACAAAAATATTAAAAAATGAAAAAAAAACTTGTTTTTTTTTTGAGTAATAAAATAGGCTAATGCACTTTTGATCCTTGAGATTTGCCTTTTGTTGAATTTTGGTCCATAAAATTCTAATTTTATCAATTTAATACTCGACGTTTACATGTTTGACTAATGGGGTTCTTTAACCCTAATATCCTTCGAAATAAGTGACAGAAAACAATATGCGAAGGGTACCTGAGGATGATAAAAGGGTGGGAGAGCATGGTGGAATGCCACCATTGCCTCCTTGTCATCCTCAAGTGTCCTTCCGTATTATTTTCCGTCACTTATTGAGACAATACCTATAGGTAGGGCCCAAATTGGTCATTTGTGTGAATGTCAAGCATTGCATTTAAAAAATTAAGGTCATGTTTAGTCGAATTATAAAAAATTGATTTCTATTTTTGAAAATAATTTTTGAGAGAAAATTTGTTTGACCAGTTATTTTTTGAAAATTGAGAATAAAAATTACATAAATTTATAAAATAAGTTAGAACTGTTTTTTATATTTTTAGGAGCAAAACTTTCTAGAATTTAGAAAATATCACCACCACAACCACTCTCACCACGACTCTTCCAACCACCAGACTTCTACCGTTGCTACTACCACCAACAATACGTCCACTGCAACCATATTTTTAATTTTATTGTTTTTCTGTGTTACTGTCAAAATAAATTTTAATATTTTTTATTTTGTAGAATTGTTTTTAGAATTATATAATCAAATAAATTATGTGATGCAAAAAAATATTAAAAATAAATTTTTAAAATTGTTTCCAAAAATAATTTTAGGTACTATTTTTGAGACGCAATCAAACAGAGCCTAAAATTATAGAGATTAAAGTTTAACAAGTGCCAATTCTTACGGGCTAAAAGTACAATCTACCCAAATAAAAACACAGTCATCGTCTCTCTCTAACTCCTCCCTCCTCTCTCTCTCTCTCGCTCTATCTCTCCAGCTACTGAATAGATGTCTGTATAGATCCAGTCTCTCTCTCTCTCTCTCTCTCTCTCTCTCTCCGTCTACACACTTTGATTCCCATATTTATTCCATGGACTTTTTCAAATCAGTTTTCTCAGATGATCTTGAGCTCTCCGATTCACAAAATACTACATCTTCATCTTCAAATTCACAATCGGAGGACCCAAAACCCTCATCGCCATCGTCAAACCAATCTACTCCCCATGTTGCAAGCATCACCAATGCCTGGACTTTCGGTTCCACCTTATTCAAAACCATAGCCACGAAATCCGAGTCCGTAATCGGAACCTACCGTCGCGATCTCGAAGACTTCAGCTCCGGATTGAAGAAGGAGACACTGACGATCCGCGAAGCCGCCAGCCGAGCCGTAAAGGACCTACCGGCTCGTCTGGAGACCGGTGCAGCTGCCGCTCAAGAGTCGCTTGAGTCCGTCGGCCAAGCCATCGACAACATCGGCTCCACCGTCTCAGAAATCATTGTTCAAGGTAAAAATTCGATTCTTGATAATGATTCCGATACTGAATTGTATGATTCTGACAAAAATGATGTTAATTTGGGTTCAAATGCAAAACCATATAGTAGAGTAGATGCTACAATTCGTGCCATTCAATGTGATTTGAAAACGTATTGCGAGGAAGCGGAGGATTTGGATGATTATAATGAGTGGAAAATGGAGTTTAAATTAGAAGAACAAACTGGGGAAATTGAGGATTTGATAGAGGAAAATAAGGTGATTGGAGAGATTTATAATGAGGTTGTGCCGAGTCAAGTTGATAAAGAAACCTTTTGGGGAAGGTATTTTTACAGGGTCTATAGGGTAAAGAAAGCGGAGGAGGCAAGAGCTAAGCTTGTGAAGAGAGCGGTTTCCGGGGAAGAAGAGGAAGAGTTGAGTTGGGATGTCGATGATGATGAGTATGGTGAAGAGAGTGGTGGTTCTAAGTTAAACATTGCTTCGGAAAGAGAAATTGTAGAAGAGGATTCGTTGGAAAAGAATATTTGGAAGTCTGCAGGTGAAACTGAAGAGGTGGGCTTTTTTAGAGGAAATGAGGACAAAGGGGGTGTTTCTCAATCAAAAGGTGATTGTGGTGTTGATGAGAAAGAGGAGTTAGAAGCAAAATTGGTGGAGTTTGAATTGAGTGATGATAAATTGGGGCTGAAATCTGAGGAGAAAGTGAGTTCAGAAGGGAAGAATGATAATAGTGATTTTTCTGTTGTCTCAAGCCAACCATCATCCCACGAGGAAGAAGATCTTGGCTGGGATGAGATTGAAGATATTGGGAGCGGTGATGAGAGCAAGGTGGATGTGGCTGCACGTGGGAGCCCAAATAGAGCTGATTTGCGACAGCGGTTGAGTGCTGCAGATGAAGAGGAAGATCTGACCTGGGATATTGAGGATGATGATGAGCCTGTTAAGACACGGTCATGACTACATTCTCAAGATGATGCACATTGTCATTTAATTTGTCATCAACTCTTTATGATGACATATATTTGAATTGTTTACTTCATATTGTGATGGTGGTGTTTTTCTTCATGGTATATATAGTGTCTTTGTATCTTACTATCTTTAAATCAAAGTTCAAGTCATCACAGACACGTTGTGATCTCATTTTCTTCGTTAAATGTCTCCCTTCTGTGTGCTAACTATGTAATGTATGCATTCATTTTTCTTGAATATTCTACAACAGAAGAATATATGTTTTCTTGTGTTCTTTATTGTTGCTGATAAGTCATCAGGTCTAATACCGTGCTCCAAATATTCTTTTCGAGGATAATTTTTTTAGCTTGATTTTGTAAACCATGCTACTGCTTCCTGCCATACTCAAATACTTTGGATCTCGTCTCAACTTATCGTTTTCTAAATGGCTGTTGCTTATTATTCCTCATTTTTATCCTCAACCTCAACAAATGAGTGGTCTTTTTGCTCTACTAATGATAATTTGTGCCATCAAGGGGTTGTGAGCTTTCGTGAACCGGGATGTTTTGGAATCAGTATGCCTAGGTTCTATGATCCTTGATACTATGTCTACGATGTATTCATCAGCAGGTTGTAGCAAGTTATTCTTGTGCTTTACCCTTGAACGTTTGTACCCAATACGCAAGACTCCTGTCATAGACAGGAGAGATAAGTTGGTTGGCTCCCATCTTCATCCTCCATCGTTCATCAAAAGAAAACTGAAAATTTGTATCCCGTTGAAAAAATTCATATCATGGATGCACATTCACAAGTTCTAATGCATTGGATTTGATGCATATTTATGTGTTGACAGAACTATGCTGCCTTATAAGATCCTCCCTTTCCCTTTGGTTAATTTTCACTGCGAGTTATGTTTTCAGATGCAGCAGTTCTTCCTCTAAAATCTGTTGTTTATAGTTGCTATCTACCCTTTCTCATGTTTCAGACCATCATTCTTTAAATTCCTATGTCTCCAATCTGTTGATATATCCTCAGTTTCGAACTCTACTTATAACCTCCAAGGTTCCTACAGTAAGGTTTTTCATTCGTTAAATCATTCACCATGCTGGAGACTCCATTTTATAGATGGTAGATCTTACTTGAATTTATGATTGGTTATGTACCGAAGATGGAGAAAAAATGTATCGGCTGAGATCCAAATCCATATTTGGGTACTTGCCATTCACGCGCCAATGGTTGTTGATGATCTAGAAAGACTCGTTACAATGGCTTTGATTTGGACTCAGATTATTTCCAGTACTTTTTCTTTCATTTACCTTCTTGGTAGATCGCCATTGATTATATTAGTAAGATAAAATATAGTTGGTCCCACATAAATTCCTGGTAGGTTCTACCAAGAAGGGAATCATAAAAAAATGTAAGCACAAGCCTTGCACGTTAGGATGTCACAATCAGCACTAGATGATGTTGCCTCACCGCCTAAACAGAGGATTATGCTGCCTTGCATTTTACCCAAACTCGGTTGATTTTTATAATAGCATTGAAAGAATTTTGTGGGGTTTTTTTTTATTTTTTATTTATTTTTTTTTTTTTGGGGGGGGGGGGATATACCAACTTGGAGAAAATTTCATGTGTAAGTGTTACAAAGTTGAGAATCCTGATCAAGTTGAATTCATAACCGCCTTGGAAGAACTACACTTCATGTGAAAATGTCACCCAAATATTGCTGATACAACATATGAAGATCTAGATTTCATTCAATGCATTTTTCTTCGACTTTTTAAACAATAGATCATGGACCTGACCCACTGTGTAATGGCAAGGGACTTAATTGCATAAAATAAGTTGTTTGATATTCATTGAAGAAAATCAAGAGAAGACATATTGGAGAGGATTTAAATATATATCGAGCCTACATAATTAGTTTGCTTGATAACAGATATTATTCCAGCTCAGTAAAAATTCCAATCCACCAGGCTGTACCATTTAACTCCTGTATACACAACTGTTGCTGGATGTACCTTATTCAGGTAATTCACAAGGCATGGCATGAGAAATCAAGAGGTTGCAGCTTTGTAAAGTTTGGTAATCTGGGTCTCTGGTAGACCTGAAGCCCTCATATTTTAGGCATAAGGAATGAAAGAAAACATTGAACGAAAAGGAAAATCAGTGGACACCAATACAGAAGAATAACCACACATGTCCGGCCAATCTTCATTGACTTTCAAAGATGTTTATCAAACGAACACACAATCGAAGAAAACATAAAAGACTCGGTGGGTGAGTCGCAACAGCCTATTTACCAGTAAAGAAAATAAGTACTAAGCAAAATGATTAGTCTGTATACTTGCTACAGGATAAGGTAAACAGATCATCATAACATAGAGTCCAGGCCAGAGCCGGATGGATTAAGTACATCATGCTCCTAATTGTCTGATGATCTCAACATCCGCATAATGGTAAGAAAGAGGTTCAGAATATCCAGATAAAGGGTGACTGATGCCCAAATGTACTCATCATATGTAAATCGCTTAATCAGGTTGTCTGTATCATAAACGATATAGCCAGAGAAAATAATGGCACTGATTCCACTGTAGATGGCAACAGATGTAGATCCAAGTGGGAAGAACATCTGCATAGTATTCAAGGCAATAACAGATCAGATTCATATCCCATTAAAAAATTAGGTGTGTGTAACAGTGGGTGTTTGTATCTTCACAGCCAGAAATAATAAGGGAAAAAAGGGGTATATAACCTGAATAAACCCGGTCAAGAAGAGCACCATGAGGCTGGTGAACAAGATTGGTCCCAGATAGCTGAAGTCCTTGCCCTTCTTAGAAGCCCAGAAAGTGTATCCAGTCAGAGATGCAACCACAGCTGATGTCAAAATCAAAGCTTCGAGCACAATTCTTCCTGTTTATTCCAAATACAAAAAGATATCAACAAACAAATTTACAAACTTGATGAAGTGCTGCGCAGGGAAAACATCACATGAATATATGGAGGTGAACAAAGAACTACCAACCTTCTGTATTGGCACAGCTCACGCCAACAGTGAGACTCAGGGACACGGTAAAGAGTCCAAGGAAAACCAAATTCAGTGGGTGCTTTTGCTGATAAATGTGCAAGGGCCACAACACTGCAGATGATTTGTGATCATAACGAGAAAGTGCTAGCATGTAAATACTTGAAAACAATGCAGAAAATAACAAAAATGAATGAGACACAGATTTCTAATAGTAGTCGTCTGAATTACTCTAGAATTATTCATTATCCTCATTGAGACCTTACACCACAATATGCAATTAATTAGAAGGCTTCTTTGCACTTCTTGGACAGTGTAAAGAATTAACACAAGAATTGCAGATCACATATCAAGAGCTAAACAAGGCAAACAGCAGTAAGGCCGTAAGGCTCAAATGGTCATGATACAAGACCCATTCAACAAGTGCAGATATGATGAAGATGATACATAATTTCCAGTTGTAACAACGATAGATTGACATTCAACAGAAAGCAGAATATACCCAAAAAGAGGCACAAATTGATTTTAATCTTCAGCGAAAGAGACTAATCCGTGTACAGAAACATAAGGAATACATTAGCAATTTTTTTTTGAAATGGTTTATAAAGTCGATCCTCAATTCTCCAGCAATTGACAACAAACACACACACACACACACAACGGTGGAAACGACAAAGTAATTTAGTAGTCAAAATCCCCAAATATCTCTTTCTCTAATTTTAATAACAAAAAAAAAACACATGATAACCCAAATATACATATAGGTACACATGAGACATACACCGATCTGAACCCTCGTTCATATCAAACCATCGAAATTATCAAACATAGCAACCCCACACTTCTAATTCACAAAGAAAACACACAAAACAATCGCTAAACACACACACACGAATTGCTGTAGGTAAATGATGGTGGATCTAATCCTAGACGAAGGGTAAGAAAATTGTGCAAATTTTGATAAATTCATGAAGTGGATGTGCGTGTGAATGTATAGAATTGAAATTTTTAGGGCTTACAGAGGAGGGGTAAGAAGAGGAGGAAGAGCAAGAGGCCGGAATTTCCCCTGAGGAGGTCATTGATGGGTGAATATAGGACGGTGACAGAGGAGACGGCGGTGGTGAGGACGATCTGGGCGGCAAGGATTCCGTAGACCTTGCGAATGAAACCCCAACGGAGTTGGTTCTCTCCGTACCCTATACCAGGGTACAGAGTCCCCTCCTCTATGTCTCCCTTCGTACTCACGCTTGTGAACCCCTTCATCTTCTCTCTCTCTCTCTCCGCGTCTGTGAAGATTAGGAGAGACAAGTAGCGATTAGAAAGATCACCGAAAGAGTTTGGTTGGTTAAGGGACTTCGTGGTTGTCGTAGATTCGGGGGTGTTCTCGTAATTTCGCTTTGGTTGGGACTTTGCTTAGAAATTTCCGTTTGGCCTTCCCGCTGCCAAACGGAAATAAATAATTTAAAAATAAATATGCGAATAAAAAATAAATAAACATATATCAATATGCGAATAAAAAATAAATAAATAATTTAAAAATTATTTTAAAAAAAATATTAGTTGAAATATATCAAAACAATTATATAAACATATCAAAATATTGCAAAACACTTCAAAATATTATGAAACACTTCTGAATATTAGAATTTCGATTTCATCACTGATTCTTTTTGATTTTTTTGAAAATAGAAAATTTTCAACTATTTCAATACGAAAATTTAAATTTTTGTCAATATATTCCGCTCATTGTTTCAATAGTTTGGAAATGAAAACATTAAGAAATTATTATGGAAAGAAGATGAAAATATAATTAAAATTAAAATTTATTTATGATATTTTGGTCAAAATATACCAAAATATTAGTTAAAATATAAATTTTTTTATATCCAATCAACGATTCATTTCGATTTTCATTTAAACGAAAATATTTAAGACGTTTTGACATTTTGAAACAAAATTTGATTCCTTACGTGTGATGCATAAG